GGACAAAAGGTTGACTCAACAACAGAAAGAATGCTCAGCGGAGGAGAAAGGAGGAGTCTGTGTTTCTGAAGACTCCGGTGAACTTCCATACCAACCCTGAACTGCCTACCTCTGGATTTCTTTTTTTTTTTTTTAAGATTTTATTTATTTTATTTTTTTGCCCCCAAAGCCCCAGTAGATAGTTGCATGCCACAGCTGCACACCCCTCCAGCCGCTGTATGTGGGACTCGGCCTCAGGATGGACAGAGAAGTTGTGCCTCAATGCGCACCTGGGATCGGAACCCGGGCCGCCAGCATCGCAGCGCGCGCACCTAACCACCAAGCCACAGGGCCGGCCCATACCTCTGGATTTCTTTTATATGTAAGAATAAACTCTTATGTGTTTAAACCAATATAAATTGGGCTTCTGATACTTGCAAATAAACCTAATCATAATTATTACAAAAAACTTCTTCAGTTGTTTGGTATTAGAGTTCATTAAATGCCATTGTGGAAAAAAATAATTTTGAATAATATTTTTAAAAAATTGTTACAAATTTGAGGGAATTCTTTGCCCATAGCTCCATTTCCTCTGAAGTGCAATGCATGATTATCTGGTGCAAAACAGGAGGGTCTGTTAGCCTGAAGAAGGTGGTAAAAATGTTGGTATGGTTCCTGGGAAGAACAGGAAGAGGGACAGGCTCCTGATACTTTTAAAAGTAAAAGAAACTATATTTACTTTCTGTTATCAAATTAAAACCAAATGCCACTTCATTGTGTGGATGACACCTGATTTAACTATTTGAATGGTTTATGTTATTAAGAAAAAAAAGATTCCAAGGCACGAGTAGTATGGACAGCCTGCCTAGGCTGTAGGCCTATTCATATCTGTGTCTGAATGCTGTCTTTGCCTTTGCAAGTTACTTTACTTGTTTGGGTCTCAGTTTCTCCATCTGTAAAAGGGGTAGTAAAACAACTGGGATTGTGACAAAAAATAAGTGAAATTATATTTGTGAAAGTGCTGATTTGTAAAAGCTGATATCCCTTGGCTGTATTAATCCATTTCTACCTTAGATTAAGTCCCAGTATTTCTAGGCTTTACTATGGCAGGTCTACTACCCCCAAGGAAGACACGTGGGTCCTACTTGGGTTAGTTATGTTGTGTTTCAAAGATAGTCTTGCATAATTAATAATTACAGTGTGCCTTTATTGATTATTTACTATATGCCAGGCACATTTCATGCATTTTCATTTAATCCTTCCCCAAAACCTTGAGAAATAGATGCTATTAATATGGTCATAAAGAAACTGGTGAGAGGTTCAGTAAATAGCCCAAGATTGCATTCACTTAGCAAAAGCAGGATTTGGACCCCAGTGGTCAGGGGCCTGAGACAGAATAATTAATCATGATCTTATGTTGCCTCCATAGCCAATAGCGCCTCCTGCTACGGGGCTAGAGAAGTGACTCGCCAGTTAGCATGCAGCTCCCTTTTTTGAAATTTATAATTCCTCCCTGTGTGATTGTCGGCAGAATACACTCTGGATGTGGTTCTTGCTCTCCAGGTGTGACCATTCCCCTTGTAACCCAAAAGCAGAGGGTTGAATTACCTCCCCTGAGACTCTTGATGAACCTGCTCTGATATACTGGCAGTTCCCACCTCGCTTTTGCGTCTTCCTAGTTTCTGCAAATTTCATCATCCTGCTGCACAAACTTGAACAAAAGAGGAAGACCAAAGGGCTAGAATGTACCCCTTACTCCAGGAAAAATGACACAGCAAGCAAGGGACACGAGGCGGACCACTCCTTGGTAACCACAGAGATAGAGTCATTCCCCAAGCTCTTGTCCACTGCTCAGCGCAGTACCTGGTAGGCTTTAAGAATTGTTTGGGGAAAGCACGTAAGAGTGACACTAACCACAGTACCTCTGTGGCAAGCATAATGACAGGCTTACCACCAACTACAGTATCTGTCAGGTGTCCAGTCTTCTTTTTCTTTCATGTAGGTTAAGGGAACCACGTAATGTAAGTCCTGACCCATAAGGAAAAAACGGTTTAATGTTGTAGTGGATGCTCTGGAGTACTGCCAAGATCCTCTCTTTAAAACCAGGTACTCACACCCACAGCTGCTGAAAGTGCTGGTGGCTCATGGCTCACCCAAACTCCTTATGAGGCCTTGTAGGCCTTTCCCATCTGTTATCTCCACCCCTTATCCCTCCACCTTAGTTATCCTTCTCTTCTCCTCAGGCCTTCACACAAGAATGACTATCTCCAGTCTTTCCTTTTCTAACGCCTCCCCAGCCCCCAAATTGCTTCAAGGGAGTTTATCCCTGCGTGAAACAGGTTACACTTGTTATTTTCTTTCATAGCGCCTGGCTGTCATCCATATTACAGTATATATGTATATAATTACTGTACACATTTTCTCTATGCAAATACTGTATATATTCATTTGTACATCTCTTGTTTAATATCTGTCTGTCCCCAAGATCCTTTATGTTCCATGAGAAACTAGAGCCTATCTGTACATTCACACTTGGCTCGAACCTGGAGATTATATAGTAGACGTTCAATAAATATTTAAGTGGATGAATATAGTAGGCTGTGTGCTAACTTTCATGAGGGAACTGAAGATGAAACAGATACGGATCACACATTAGAGGAACTTACCCTCTAGTAGCGGTGATATGTTGGGAACATAAGTAACTATAAGGCAAGACAACTAATGTCACAGGACATCTACGAGTCCTGAGGAAGGGACACTACTTCTAGGCAGGGAAATCAGAGGAGACTCTGAGGAGGGAGAGTATTGTGCTGGGCGTTGGAAGGAGGGAGAGCATACACAAAGGCACCAACCAATCTTGGAAAGTGTAGGGCAAATGTGGATGAAGATGTGTTGATCCATTTAATTGGAGCCTGGATACATCAAGACAAAAGAGTAAGAGACAGGCTGCAGAAGAGAAGTGACACCAGGTTGCCAAGGGCCTCATTTGCCAGGCTAAGACATCTGGGCTGTATTCTGGAGGCAGTGGTGGGTAACCACAATAACTCAACTCAGCCTTTTAAAACCCTTAAAAAAATGTTTCAGATATACAGTAAAAGTAGAAATAATAGTACAATAAACACCTACATACTTCTTACCAACATTCAACAATTAACATTTTGCCATATTTGCTTTATATATAGACAGATACACAGATATATAGATATATATAGATATAAATATGTGTGTGTATATTTCAAAGTCTGTATTACTTTTTCATGGCTGTCTTTCATTCTTCCTTTCCTTTTCTGAACCATTTTTAAGGAAATTAGACATCATGACTCTTCACTCCTAAACATTTCTCCAAATTTTAAAGATGTTTCCTTCATATCCATCATACTACTATTACATTGAACAAACGTAATAACTGCCTAACATCATCTAATACCAGTCCATTTTCAAATTTACCCAATTATCCCAAAAATGTCTAAAAAGCTGGTGATTTTTTTTTTTCAGAACCAGAACCCAATCAAGCCTTTAGTCGTGTCTTTTAAGTCTTGAAAAATTTACAACAGTCACCCCCTGGCCCTTTTTTATGACATCAATTTTCCTTAATCTTTATGTCTTAGCTGCTATAAGATCAATTGTTTTATAGAATGCCTTACATTCTTGATTTATCTGATTGTCTCCTTGGGGATGTCATTTAACTGGTTCCTCCAGCCCCTGTAAACTAGATGTTAGTTTGAGGCTTGATTGGATTCAGGTTCAACATTTTGGGCAAGAAAACTTCATTAAACAATGCTGTATACCTCATGCTGCAGCATACCAGAGACCTCGTAAGAATGTTGATTGTCCCAGGGTTAATGATGCTAAATTGGATAACTGAGTTTAGGTGGGTTCAGCCAGAATTCCCCATTGTAAAAGTGTGTGTTTCTCCTTTGTGATTGGCAAGTAATCTGAGGGATGGGTTTGGCAACACAACTCACATTTTTGTAGCTGTTTACAGTTTCTCAAACATGTTCAAATGCATTTAATCACAACAGCATTCCTGTAAGGTTTTATTCCTATTTAACACCAGTGAAAAACTGAGGTTTGGAGTGCTTAAATGACTTCCCCAAAGTCATAGAGCCAGTAAGTAGCAAAGGCAGGACTCAAGCATAAAGGAGTTCACTTTAGTTCAGTTTAAAAAAAAAAAGAAAAATCCCAAATAGCCTACATCTAACTACAGATTTTCAAAGTATATTCTCTCTCCAGAATGTAATAAATATTTCTCTCCTTTTAAAAACATTTTCTAAAAAAGGACATTTTTCTTTCTTGATACTGGGAAGCACATTGCCAGGGAAAAGCAATTTGTTTTACACTAACAGCTATTTCTTTTCCCCGTCTAAACTGGCAAAATGTAACAGGTGCCAGATTCCCCAAAGCTCCATTTGTAACAGCAGTTTACAATTATCTAAATGTCAAATGAGTTACTGAATTTGTGGCTTTCCCAAATGTGTGAACAACGCCAATTTAACAAAAATAACTATTCTCTGTGCGAAGTTAAGCATACACACGTGCGCTTATGAAGCTAAAACCAAGGGCCTTTAGGTCTGGAAGAGACACCGGTCGGAAGTATACATCAAGTTAGGTCCTGTCGAATCTATTTTCTCCTCAAAATTAGGTCAGCAACTGGTGGGACAGAATTAGGAAAAACATATGACAGTCTAGAATCAAGAGATAAGGGGTGTGGTGTGCGATGATGAGCAAACCAGGGAAGGGAATTAGAACAATCCTGGATCCAGGAGGGCAGTGGGGAAACTTATTTCTGGGGTCCCCAGGAATCCTGGCCTCCAGCTCTGAGCCAGCTGCAAGAAGGCTTGAGTCAGGCAGGGGCTGACTGCTGAGAGTCATTTCCTAACAAGAAACTACGGAGGTCCTAACTCAGAAAGTGGGACTCCAACACTGCGCCTACATCAAAAACCGCTTTTAAGAAGGTGACTCGCTTCTGCCTCCCACCAGCTTCCCCAAAGCTGGAAGCAGGCGGGCACGCCCCCAAGTCCTCTTCCCGGATTTTATTGGCTGCCCCGGCCTGCCCCTCTCTCAATACGTTTCTTTCATTGGTCAGCAGTGCCAAACTCCAGCTTCCACTGACAATTCCCGGAACCAATCATCTCCAATCGCCGCCCCTTCTCTCCGCCGGCATGTGAGTGACATGCATGGAAACCAATAAGAAATGAAAGTGAGGACGTGAAACTAGACTCCTCCCCTTTGTCCTCAACTCGATCAGTAAATGGTTGAAAAGGTTGAGCAGCTGATACTAACCACCAATCCGTAAGGGCGGAAGAGGCAGGATGCAAAGAGAGATGGGCGGGGGTGACGTGGCAGTGACGGGGCCCTAAACTGAAATGAGTGGCGGAAATACTAGCCAGTCGGCGATCAAACTGGCCGGGCGCTCTGCATTCTCGAGTCCTCCCTGAGCGCTGGGGACCTTCGGGAGAGCACCAATGAGCTTGTACATGAGTCTGATTGGCCTTCACCCGAACCAATCCACGGCGGGGCTGGAGGACGCGTCCCACCCCGGGCTCTCACTGGGCGGTGTGGAATGACAGGCCCGAGAGAAATGCCAATGTCCTAGGGGTCTTCTGCAAGTGACACTCCGCGGCGCCAATTGACTCCCTTCTTCCTGGCGGCCGTGCCCTCCTCCCCGCGGCGGGCCTGGCGGGGCGGGGACGCTGCGCGGCCGCGGCTGATGCGCTAGCCGTGTGGGGCGCTTCGGGCGGCGGCGGCGGCGGCTCTCGTAGGCGGTTCCGGTCCTGTATCTCGGGGCGGCGGCGGCTCATGGCGGCGACGGAGCTGAGAGGAGTGGTGGGGCCAGGCCCGGCAGCCATTGCAGCTCCGGGCGGCGGCAGCACCGGTCCTCCCGTGGGGGGAGGCGGCGGCGGCGGCCGCGGAGACTCGGGGCCAGGCTCCGGGGGCGCGCC